TGCAAACTCCTCTTTGTTTGTTTAGGGCACGAATTACTGCATATGTTTTATCATTGGTACCATTTTTATAAACAATGGTGTGCAGGCTCCAGAAATCATAAAGGGCCTCTTGAATCCCATCTCCTCCCAATGGATATCCCCTTTCGTTCATTTCCCCTTTTAGTCCTTAAATTCTAACATGTATCAAATTGTATCGTGTACCAAAACATGTATCAAAATAAAAGTAACTAACATATATGAATGACATTAGTTGTCTTAGAGAATAAATGCTACTACAAGCATTTCTAAGAAAATTCAACTTCTCATTAACGGTTCTACTAAGTAGATGTGTATTACATACCTGAACATCCTAGACAGACACATGTGTGGCAAGTAGAATCCCCCATGTAGGTCAATAAAAGATGCAGGAAGACCAAACAGAAAAATGTACATCTTCAAGTGCTGGTCAGTGAAATACTCAGATAGTATACTGTATTTTTCCACCAGTCAGTTTAACCCGTCCACAGGTGTCTGATACTTCCTCCAAATAAATTGGTCAAGATGGAAAGCTTTACTCACATTAACAATCATGACACTAAAACCACCTTAGAAAATACCTTGAGTTACCCGGGAATCTGAAAGCTCAAGAGGTCCTTCTGGAAGTCTCATTCCTAGCTGTCCTAGAAGTGGTAACTAAGAAAAGTGTTCCCACCCTTCTAGGCAATAACCACACAAGAAATCTGCATTCTGATGCCTAATCAGAAATCAGAATTTCTTAGAAATTCAAAGCTTCACTTTTTTCCTAATCCACTGGCAACTTTCATCTGAATAAGCATTTATCTCAGTGTTTGTTTTGTTCTGTCTCTCTTTTTTGTTGTTGTTGTTGTTTCTCATAATCTCTATTGGCACAGCCTTGACATTGGTCCCAAAATGTGCATTCCTGAGGGGTAGAGGACTATATGATCACAGTCCTTTACTAACACAGGTGGCTACTAAAGAAGGAAACATTTACCTTCCTAGAACGGAGGTTTTTCAAATACACACACACACACAAGTCAATAAATCAAGGCAATAACTATTAGTGATGAGATTATTTCATCCAGGCCCTGCACTGTGTATTTTGTGCACATCCACTCATTCAAGAAACAGAATAGATTAATGGCTGGGAGGTTACCCAGAGTGACTAGACAACCAGGTATGAATTCCAGCTTCACAGATTGCCAACTTGGTTATCTGGAGTGAGTTAAATTCTTTGTGACTCAGTTTCCCCGTCATTAAAATTAGCATAATAAGAATACCTACCCGATACAGTACAATCATTATGATTTCAACAGGTTAATACAAGTAAGGAGCTTATAACAATGTATGCCTAAAAGTAAGAGTAAATACTTAGAAAATGTATGACATTATTGATTTTTGCCTCTTCCCTACAATGAAGGTTTTAGAGGAAGGAATGAGACTAAAAACTTTCAACAACCCACCACACCCAGTGTTATCTATGCCCATGCATCGGCTTTCCTGTGCACTAAAACATCCCTTTGGGTTTCTACTCCTCTCTGGCTTCTACCTACTGTTAACCATCTTCTCAAACCTCAGTTTAGATACCCACTCTAAGGAAACTGCTCTGATGCCTCTACCTAACCCCCTCCATTCAGTTAAATGCATCCATCTTGCACAATGTCATTTTATCTGTTGTACTCCATGGAATCTGTCCCTTCAGTATCTGTTCCCTCTGTTCATATGTAAGCCCCTTGGAATCAATAGCTCACAGCATAACGTTTGGTACATAGTAGGCATTTAATAAATCTTTGTTAAATGAATAAAAAGTGAGGCAAAGAGGAATTAAAAACTAGTCAGTGAGACCTATTAGTCCTTCACCAACGTCCCTTCCTCTGTGTCATTTCTACTCTCTAGGAAGCTTGCCACAGCCATAGATGCAAAACGGTAGCTTAGGGTCACGGAGTAGGAGGCTGAAAGCATTCAGAGAAGAGTACCTGAGGTAAGCCACGCAGTCAAGGAAACTTCCCCAGACAACTAGAATGAGGCCCTAAAAGGTGGGACATCAAGATCCACACAGAGAGAGGTGGTAAACACAAGGCATCACAAGGGGATTGCAGTGGCCCAAGAGAAGACTGGATTCTAGACTACTACGGAACAGAGAACAACTGGAGTCCATTCCGCTCTGTAAAATCTTCCACTCTCTGAAGAAGCAGCACCCTAAGTATTACGGAAACCACCAGTGTTCTTGTCAAACATCAGTTTCATTAGTAAGAAAGGCGGGCCCATGAGATACAATAAAACAGTCCTAGATTTGAAGTCTACCTTCAAATTGCTCTATGGCATCAGACAATCTTGCCAGGCTCAGGTATGAGCATTTATGAGCTAGGCATATGGACTCTCTTACAGGGTTAGTAAGGGGATTCAAAATACACAAAATTGCTGATCCACATCAGCGTTCAGGGGGTGCTAGCTGCCCTTCTCAGTCTTCCACCTGCACTCACACTCACACTCTCTGGGAATAACCAGAAAAACCACATTCTCTCTGTGCATTCACATCCCCTCCAGAGTTCATTCCTGTTAACTCTGTTCTGGCAAGACTGCTGATGCTGATGGGTTATACTTCCCCCAGAAAGTTTTGGTCATCCATGTCCCAAAAGTTTCCCTGACAAAAGAGTAAAATCTCTTTAAAACATGATCAGTTGTTGGGAAAAATAGAAAAAGCAAGCATTCCCCTTCCATCACCACTTCTTAATGAAATGGTCAAGAACAGAAAGCACCATCAATACCAAGCCCCCCGTCACCATTTTACGAGGTGAATGTGTGTTCTCATATCTTGCACCACTCGCCAGCAAACAAAATGGAGTGCTGTAGTTAATTGAAAAACAGCTCTGCCCTGCCTGCCATAATTGACATTAAGTACTGTTTGGGGTAGGAAATCAGCCATTTCCAATTGATATTAAACAGGAAATCATTTAACATCAATGGATATAAACCAGGCACAATTGTGCTGAATTAGGGAGAAACGCTTTGGCTCATGTTAAAAAGTGTTTCTGTGAAGTGGGATTTTTCAGAGTAAGTGAATATTAAGTCAGCTTAATACCTGTATTAGGAAAAGAAGAAACCACTTCTCAACCTCCCCTCAGGCTTAGGAGAAAACTGCCAAATGCTCTTTTGGAAGAAGCCATGTTCTAAGGTGGTCTTGTCTTTGAAAAACAAAATAGAAAGGAGGTATAATCTGTGGGAGCAGATCAAAGAAGAAAGAGAGTCTCCTACAAGCTTACCCAGTGTCACTCACCATGATGCTGAACAAGGAATTGGAGCCTTATGAAAAGGAATACATGGGGACTACCTTGGCCTCCTCAGAAATGGTGGTGGGGATCAAGCCCTTGATATGAGAAATTGCATATGATATGAGAAAAATAATTAAACCACAGATATGGAATGGGAAAAAGAAGCCATCAAATCTCCCCTCTCTACTGAATTCCTTTTCACGACATGAAGGGTACATCATGGCTTCTCCCCTGCCTGTGACGTGCTGGTACTGATTGTCCTAATTAAAGCAGGGCAAACCTCTGCTTGAGTAGTTACGGCTGGTATTTCATCCACTGGGGCTTTAGAACTCTTGCCATTACTCTCAGAAGAGGAGTGACACAAGACCCAACTCTGCATCCTTCACTTCTTTCACCAGAATAAGAGAGAGGCAAGAAGAGAAGCTGGTTACAAATGATAAAAAAAAAACATGACGAAGGCCTGTGGGGCAGAAGAGATAAAACTGGAAGGTCTGGGGAAAGGAGAAACAAGAAGGATCTGAACATCACAGTGGGAGGTTTACAGGGTGCTCAGGAAGTCCACTGTTCCATTTTACAGTATGTCTCAAAGAGGCTCTGGGGTGTGTTCCAGGCCACACAGCTATTTAGTGCCTAGTCTAGAGCTCCCTTCATTCACTGTACATTTTAAGCATCTGATATCACCTCAGGAGTACAAGAATAATGAGAAAAGAAAGAGAAGAGAAAAAGAGTGTCTTATAAGTCTCGCCTGTCTAGAACTTCTACTGTTGGAGTAAATTGAACACCATACCAATCCCTGGGTTCACAGCACAAACAGTTGGCAAAGCCCCGGATACAGTTTGTAAGCCCTGAGTCTTCTGCCTGGAGTGGTATCACTTGCAGACCCAGGCCTCCAAGGGCCTCCCAGCCCTCGCCTTGTTGCCATAGGTGCACTGTACACCCATGGGCTTTGTGTGGCCAAGACAACAGCCAGACTTCGTCCCAGGGAGAACTCTTAGTCATGAATTTTGAGGCAATCTCTGAGAATTTATCCTTTAAAGTAGGTTTTGTATAGAAATGAAATGTATCCTTACTAGCTCCTCAGAAAAAGAAGCTAAATGTGTACTTTTAAAAATCGCATATCTCACAAACCTCTCTTTTAAGAGGAGACAGCTTGATCAGCAAGGGAGGTTAAACTTACAGAGTAGAAGGTAGAAAATATTCTTTATGGCCTGTCCCTTTTACATTAGACCCAAAGCTAGCTCTTTTATGATGTTGCTCCCTAAAAATGAACCATCAGATAAATGCCTGACTTTAGAAAACTCTTCTCAAAGGAGGCATAGGAATCAATAGGATACTTCTGCCTTGAACTCACGATAACAGTTGACAACATTTGTGCCGGGAGTGAAGCCATGTAGAGGCGTAAGAAGATTATTTTGGGTTTTATATCTATGCTTTTGCTCCGTGGCCAATGGCGTTCCAGATTTTTCACAACTGTTTGTGAAAAGGTGTTGACTCCTGGCTCCTCTCCAGCTCTCTGTTCATATGAGACCATCATGTGGCTGTAACAAGCATCCAGAATATACTTGGCCAAACTGTGTCCGCTTGGATTGGAAAGGGAACACCTAGTAGCATGCAGGATAATGGATATGTAAAGCCCAAGCTAATTTGTTTATTTTGTTAATTCATGAAAAGTCAACCAACAACTTAACATTGAGTATATCCTCCGCACCAGAATTATGCTGAATCCAGAGATGAATACCGCATTCTCTTCTCCTCAAGAGCTTGTCATCTCAGAGAATTCATTGAGTCTTACTCAGAGCCTAGAAATTACACATAAGAACAGTGCTCACATTGGCTAAGCTCCCTCATTCTGTGCCTTACTTTAAATTCTAAAAGACTGATGATGCCTTCTTCCACAGAGCGTTTGCCTATTCCATTCCCTTTTTTTGAAAAGTCCTTACTTGTTACCTTCCTCCTTCACCTAGTTAACTCTGTATCTTCCTCAAGGAAACCCCCCACATCCAGCCTGGGTGAGTTTTCTTGTTCAATATCATCTCTCTCCTTCTCAGTTTGTGATTACATATTCATTCATGTGTTGCTTAAAGTTTATTTATGATGTGTGTTCCCTCCACTGGACAATGAACTTGGAAGGATAAGGAAGGTAGTTGTTTTTGCTCAATACTGAATCTCTATGTTAGGGCCTAGAATGTCTTGGACACCCAGTAAATACTGGGAAATCTGTGTTGAATGGATCAGAAGAAGAAAACTAGAACACTTTTATCAATACAGACAATATTCTAGTTCTTCACACTTCATTTCTAAGCTGAAACTACCTGTATAATTTTGCTGAACACTTCAACCCTCCCACTGCATATGTCAGAATCAGCTTTGGGTTTAAAGGAACAGATGCTCAGGTTAAACCTGGCAATGCTTAGACCACGCTTCTGCCAACTGCACAACCCAGGAAGAAGCTTACTTACCTTTGTGCTAGATGGAAAAATGGATAGCCAAAGGCTGCCCTTGTCAAATGCCTGGAACTTGTGAATGTTAACTTTTTTGAAAGAGTCTTTCCAAATGTGATGGCCTTGAGCATCTTGACATGAGGGAAAAAAATTCTGAGTTATCTAGTGGGCCCTAAATGCAATCCTCTGTATCCTTATAAGATATACACACACACAGGAGACAACACAGAGAGAAGAAAAAGGGAATTAAGGTGAGCACAGAAGTACAGAGTGGAGTGATGCAACCACAAGACAAGGAACAATAAGAGCAACTGGAAGCTGAAAGAGGCAAATAACAAATTTCCCCGAGAGCCTTTAAAGGAAGCGTGTCCCTGCCTGTACCTTTACTTTAGACTTGTGGTCTCTAGAACTGTGAGAGGGAATAAATTTGACTTTCTTTAAGCCACCCCTTGTGATAATTTGTCATAGCAGCCACAGGAATCAACTCCAACCTCTCTAAAGCTCAGTTCCTCCCACGTAGAATGGAGACAATGACACTACCTTGGAGGGAAATGACCCAAGAAATAACCCAACACCAATGATCATAGTTGTTCAAGATGAAAACATTTAGACCAAAGGGGAACTTTCTGTCAACTACTTAGTGGCTGGGTCCGTACCTCACTTTCAGTAGTCTGAAAATAAGAAAATATCCCAGATTTATGATGGCTGTTTTGCTACCTATGAAGCATATGCCCCTGTGTCATTTTCATGCTGCCCGAATAATGTCAGAAAAGCCAGAGACAGGCTTGAGGTTTTTGAAGGTAAAGATCAGGGTATCCTCCTTAGCATCCCCAAAGCCCGGCCCACTACCTGCCATACAATAGATACTCAGTGAATTCTTGGAAAATGACAGAGCTCTTGGGTCATTACAGTTTAGACGAGTTCACCCACTCAGTGGAAGAAAGAAGGACATAGGGTTAGAAAAAAGGAAAGACAAACACTTACTACTTATTCATATGTGAATATAAACCTTATCCAAAGTTATCACACTGATGATGAGGATGATGCTGACACTGATGGATAAATACTGGGTAATCCATGTTGAATGGGTCAGGAGAAGAAAAGTAGAAACCTCCATCAATATTCTTGCTCAGCATGACAAGGATGGCTGCCAACATTAAGGTAGCCCTGAGGTGGTCAGGTTAGGGTTATTGTCCTTACACATTCCTTTCTTTCCAATTGCTGTTCAATTTACTAAGAGATAGTCCTTAATGACTCCTGGATGACTCCATCACACACTCTCAGAATTCAGCATGTTTTGTTATTTTTCTTTTAACTTTAAAGGAGGGCACAATCAGAGTAGATATAAATATGCTAAAAATCAAAGAGCTTGATTTCATTCTGAGAGTGACGCTCATTGAAAGGATTAATGTAGGTTAAGCTGAAAGTTAGTTTCATGACTCATGTCCATTTTCACATTTTCTCCTGGCATGAAGTAAAATTTGAGGCAATACATGAGCTCTTTTGAGAGCTCTCTATATACAGAGGTTAGTTAGTTTCTTTTGATAGCATTTCAAGCTCATTTAAAACTGCTGAAGTGATAACCTTGGTAATTATGGCTACCAGTACAATATTAATGATAAATCTGTCTTAAAGTGTAAGAAGTATTTTATAGCCATATAAATATGAATCACTGATATGAATCACAGAGTCAACATAACAGAACTAAAACTTTTCATGAATATCTCCTTGCTAGAAGAGAGGTTGTTTTCTTGCTTTTTAATTTTAGGTTAAATAATAGCTGCCAGCTGATTTGAAGCTGGATCAGCGTGCATAATCCCAGACAAGGAGATGGGAGGCTTTAATTTAAGTTTCTGGGAAAACTGAAGCTATATTTCAGGGGTTGCTGTCTGAAAGGCCAAGAATCACATAGTTCTTGAAGTTTTTGATTCCATTATAAAGATATATGGAAAAAGCAGGGGAACCATCAAACAACCTAAAACACATTAGCTGGATATAACATGCCTTACTTACTCTAGGGAGTCCTAACTCTCCAGGGAAGTTCAGCTCTTCTTGAGCTCAGATATTCATTTATTAGTTCACCCATTTATTGGAGTCAGGGCTGTGCCAGGCACCATTCTGAGGACAGAAGACATGTGAGTGAAGGAACAATTTTGGCTGGCTCAGTTTATATCCTAACAATGACCAGGAGCCATGAGCAAAGTTAATCAGTGAATTACTATCAGAAAATTCTACTACAGAAAAGTAGAGGTTCTGTGATGAGAACAAAATAGGATGATGTAATAGAATGTGAATGAGAGCTGGTTATTTGTTAGATGGGCAAGGAAGGTCTCTCTTAGGGTCTTCTGTTTAAGGTGAATTCTTACATCCCCACTGTTACCTAAAAAAGCAGATAATACAGTCAAAATAGAAGAAAGAGAAAGAATGAGTGACAGTATCAGGAAAAAAAAAAAAGGAATCTGAAACCCAGCACCTGAGTTTGAGACATTCCAAAAGCTTCATTTGAAAAAAGTAAGCACAGTGTGTTAAAGGGTCAAATTCACAGCACTCTCACTAACAACAGTGGAAATGTTCCTCTACCATTCCTAGCCAGAGGTTCATCTATTTCTTGTGCCTTCACGCCTTTCATGTAAGACCATATTTTATGAATCCAAGACACTCCCAATTGTGTAAAACAACATTAGGGATGCTACAGCATTAAAACATGCATGTCTTAAAATCTGTGAAGTAAGATAATCAGGGCTTGTTCTATGTGGTCAGACAGTGCTTACTTCTTACTGGCTATCTTAGTGTACTCCACAATTTTACTATTCACTTAGTTTCATTCTCCCATTGCCTATTATGCTTTTTGAAAATCCTTTAAACTACCATCCCCATTCTTGAAGTTTTTGTCCACTGGACAAAATTTTTGGAGGAAGGAGAACTCTTTTCTTTCACATTCACAAAATCCTCCCAGTGCTGAGCCAGGTCTCCCCCTAGTTCTACCCTGTACTCCTTCCTCTTGTCTCTTGTTACCATCTTCACTCATATTGATCTTCAGAACTGGTGGCAACAGTTTCCCAAAATATCCTCAGTCCCTAGAAGTACCTGGTATGCAAACTCTGCTTTCTGTCTGCCCAGCTGCTTTGACACACAACCCTCCTTCCCTGGTTGTGCCCTGTTCCTAGCAACTCTCTCCAGCAGACTCGTTCAGGGCATATTAACATGAACTAAGTTCTCATTTTCTTGAAATTATCAACCTCTGCACTTTTCTGTCTCCTGTGAATTGAAACCCTTCTCTGTTGATAAAATAACATGTTCTTTGTTTTGAATCCAAGGAGAGTCCTTAAGTAAAAATCAGTAAACCACACCTCCTTATGTTGGGCAACAAAACGTAAGAAATATGCATTTGAACTTAAGGGATCCCTGATTTATTCTGACAGGGGACTGAAGGAGGGATCCTTGGGGGCAGTATTATACCAAATTCTAATAAAGAAGCATCTCAAGTTTTTCCCAATCCAAGGCAGAAAAGGAGACTGAAATATAAAATAATTATCAATAATTTGTCACTGAATATATTTAAGTAATCAGCCCTCGCTCTTTGACAGAAGGATCAAGATACAGAAAGGAATTTTTGCGAGCATTTCTAAACCAAGGTAGACGAGTTGACTGAATCCTGAAACAACTGAAGATCAGAAAGCAGATAATGTACCAAAGTCATCCGCAGTCAGTCTGAAAGTCAAATACAGCCTGACAGTAAGAGTTACCAACTTGGGAACCTTGTCTGTAGCCAGGTCTAAGGATGTTCTGCTCTGACTACACAAGTCATGTGTGAATGGGTGCAGAGAGATTGGATTCACTGTAATACTGAGTAGAGGGACATTCCCCACAACTGCTCATCGATGAAACCAAGAACTCTAAAGATAGTCCAGTGAACTTTCAGTTCTGTACTAAGGTACTACTTTAAATGACTGTTTGTTGTTTAACAAGATTCCGTTAAGTGAATATATAAATGGAGAATCTTGGCCCCTAGAATTTGTAAATCATCCCTCTTCTTTATCTCTATAAAAGACACATTGTATATTTAAAATACACAATTTGAGTTAGTAAAATTTTGATAATTTCCCCCTTTTCACTTTAAGATAAAGAATGAAATAAAAGAGATTCTCTTTGAATAGGAATAACAGTGTTGGTGAGTGTGATTAGCCCTGTCAGGGTTGAAGTTAATATTGCTTCTTCCGCATTTTTTAATTATACTCCTGATTTTTCTATTTGGAGACATCGTAGACCTGTTCTGGTAAATTGTCACACAACCACAAGTCAAATATGTGTTACATATGAAAAATGCTGCCATTTTTATCTGATTTATGGTTCATTCATGCACTGTTATCTACTTTTAATTAAATAATATAAAACACACATGGTCAGCAGTTTGACTTTTCATTTCCTTACAATGTCAGTAATTCAGCTTGATTGTTCCCACCTACCTGGAATTGCACATTAAATATACAACCCTGTATGGTCCTGATCCACTGTCTGGACAATTTAAGCCACTGCTAAAAATAGCCACTGTCCAGCATCCCTCAAAAAAAAAAAAAAAGCACTAGAATATACCAAAGAACACAGTCCATCACAAACCCAGTAAGGCACCAGCAGCAGTTCTCATTGTCTCATATTCTTCTGTTTCAGCCCTTTTCCCAGTGTCATATCCCTTGTTGATTTATAGTCTGCTAAGTTCATTAAAGATCCAGCGAGACTCCCATGGAATTGCCTAAGGCACTAGGAAAAAGAACTTCACTTGCAGGTTGCTATGGACTTAGACAGTTTACTACTTCATTAAGGCTACTTTTCTGCTGGGCAGTATGTATATTATGAAGCCACTGGCGTCTTCTTCAGCCTCCTATTCCCAGCTTCATCACATTGTTCTGAAGAACAAAGACAGGTTAAACACAGAGGAGTGAGAGAATAACCCCAAAATACTTCCAATCCCTACTACTGTTATTTTTAATACTATCGTCCAATCTAGCATATTTATTCCACCAGCATATTTGAAAGGACACTACTCTGTCTGCATTCTCTTCGTTTACACTTAGACCCAAATTAGATGGAGGCTGCTTAGAGAAAGTTCTGCTTACAGAGTAAAGCATGGAGCTCTTGCTGAAGAAATACATATCCAGCCTCCCTCCTGAACAAATAGGCAATCTCTCTGGAAATTTTTTTTCCAGAATAGTCTTAAAATTATCTCAAAGATAGAAGTTATCTGAAAGAAGGAGTTCTGTTTGTAACCCAAATGAGAATTTAAAAAATTAGCTAAGTAATAATAAGCAAGAGGTGACCCTAAAAAGAAAATACTCTTGTAAATAAACTTGATTTATTTACAGTTAAATGTATGATTGCAAAAGAAAAATAATTTTCAACCAAACCATAGAACTTCAGCCTAATAATAATAATACTTAGCACTTAAACAAGCACTTTACATCTGCAAAGAGCTTTACAAACATTAACTAATTAATCGTTAACAACACCCCAGTGAGGTAGGTAAGTATTATTCAAGTATTCTCTTAAATGTTCAAGCCAGGATTACAGCAAATCCAGAGTGAGGTGTGTGTGTGTGTGTGTGTGTGTGTGTGTGTGTGTGTGTGTCCTGCTCCATTCTTACTAAATACAAGACTCTGTGGAATGTCTTATAAATAGGAAGAAGGCTCATCTGGGGAATTTTTGAAGCTTTTCCAAAACCCTGGCTTTGGAGTCAACCTAATAGAGCCAAAACAAGCTCCAAGGTGGCTTCTCTAAGTCTTGCAAGGGTTTGAAGTAATAGGATAAGGAGTGGTTTGTAGACAGGAAGCCCACTAACCCCTCCCTGTCTACATTCTTCACTTAGAGTGTTTGGAGTCTCCTCTTGTTTGATAAGAAAGACTAAAATCTCACTTTGAGAAGAATTTTGATTAGTTGAGGGAGGATAGGCACACAAAACAAAGCCCAACATAGAACAGACTGGCAGCCCCAGGGATAGTAGGAGTTGCACTCCAAGAGTAGCGGTACTGTCATCCCATGGTAAACTCCATGAGAGAGAGTCAAAATGATATTGTAACAAGAGAAAGAAGTATCAAAGGCCATGGGAGAAGCTTGTTGGATCAGGGCATTGGAGTTGCTCTTACAAAAATATGAATGTGCACATCAAAAATACCCAGAATGAGTTGGGTCTGGTGATGTACACCTGTGGTTCCAGCACTCTGGGAGGTTGAAGCAGGAGAATCACAAATTCAAGCCCAGCCTGGAAAACTTAGCAAGACTCTGTCTTAAAATAAAAACTAACAAACAAACAAACAAAAGCAGGCTTGGGAATGCAGCTCAGTGTGAAGGCCCTGGGTTCAATGCCCAGCACCACCAAAAATATGAATAAATAATGCCCATAAAGAACACTACTCCATGATCTTTTGGCTGAAGGCACTGTGACTTCAGCAAAGGAAGGCCATTATTGAAGTACAGGTCTCTTTCCTGGGTCAGATAACAGACTGCCAAAAATGACCTTGGGTTTTTCATTGATTTCTTCATTTACTCATTAATAATAGCTAAAGTGTATAGAGCATTTCCTTTGCGAAGGTCACTATGTTGAATTCTTTAGTTTTATTTGGTCATTTAATCTTCACCACAATCCCCGCAGGAATGTTCTACTATTAACCTCATTTAAAGATCAGTAAAATGAGGCTGAGAGAGGAAAGTAACTCAGCCAAAGTCACACAGTTGGTAAGATTTGAGATAAACTCCAGACTCCCAGAGCCATAGTCTATATTATTTCTATCCACTATTATTACTATCTACTATTACTATTCAAGTGTATGCTTGGCAGAATGAGGTGCTAGGCAGACAGACATGATTTTTGCTGTGATAGACATAATAATAAAAATTTCACCAATAAATATGTCATTTCCAATTGCAATCAGTATTGTGAAGAATAAAATCAGAGTTTTTTGTGACAAATAGGAAGCAGAACAAGATTAGAGAATCAGAGAAGGTCTCTCCAAGTAAGTGACATTTAAACTGAGATCTGAGAGATGGCAGGAGTTAGCCAGGAAGAGAAGGAGCAGAAGAGCATTCCAGTCAGAGGAAGATCAGAAGGAAGGCCCCAAGGTGGCAAGGAGCTCTCGAAACTGACAGAAGACCAGCCCAGTGAATGGAGAGTGACCCAGGGGGACAGCCACATGAGATGAGGTCAAA